ATTTGAGTGTGTGTGTGTGTGTGTGTGTGTGTGTGTGTGTGTGTGTGCAGGTTTCTCAGTATTGGTGGGGTACTGGTGGCGGTGTTTACGTATGCAGTTGCCCACGAAAGTATGCTATAAAATATTTTGTGCGTTTCACAGCCACCTAAATAATTGATGTTTAATATGTGCTTGGCATTTAAAGTCGAGACTTTTTAATAGTTGCTAAAGGCATATTAAAACATTAGGCAGCCTCTACGCCCCTACCTTTTTTTCTTCCTCTTTTGTTTTCCATGCAAGTTATGCATTGAAAACTTTTTCCCATATAGGTATACATATGTATGTATATGTGTGTGTCTCTAGTGTGTGTGTGTGTGTGTATCATCTTTTGCGCACAGCATTCATCAACATTTTCAGCATAATTTTGGGCTGTGTGCAAAATTCTTGGGAAGTAATTATGATAAACGCAGGATGTGTATGTGCCTGTATATACTATATACACACACATGTATTCCTACCTATCTATGTGTATATAGCATACGTGCAGGGATGTATGTGCGCGCATGTTTGCGTGGCTGCCTTTGCGGCATGTCGAACTTGTAAACTGGGTTAATTGCGCGTAAAAAAGGTAGCACACCCACACCGTACTCTGGATAATATAAATGACAACTCTGCTGCCTATTTCCGCTGCCTGTCAATACATTTTAAAAGATTTCACAAATTTTGATAAGCCGCCCGCAAAGTTGACGGCTACGTGCAAAACGTGCATAATTAGCTGCAATTGTCGTTTTTTGCTTTTAATTATCGCTGTCTTTTTGCTTTCACATTTATATTTTTTTAATGATAAACAAAGCAACATGCTGATTGTGGCGTTTTATTATTGTGTTTTTTTTTTCTATTTTTTGGCTCTTTGTTTTTTGAGTAGTTTTTGCATAAAGAATGAGTTATGCATCAATTATGAAGCTAAACTGTTTCACTAAAGCTTTATTTCGTTTTCCTTTGTGAAAAAAACGCAATTAAAATATTGCATGAGTGGACGATTTTTTACTTTCATTTCATCTTTACCGCAACAACATTTGTTGGAGAATTTGGGTTATTCCATAACCCAAACATTTAACAGTTCGACATTTCTCTTGCAATCTAGATAAGAATGCATTAAGGGTATTTTGAACAAATTATACAGTTGCATTATGCAGTTCATTCAAAACACTGCAACAACTTTTCATTCAACTAATCGTAGACAATTTTTTGATAAATCACAATGAAATTATATGATAAATCATTCATGCGTTAAAGATGATCTCACACCCATACACATTATGTCCTCAATATTAGAAAATACTTTCGAAGCTCAAAACAAATATTCCCATCATTTTTGAGATGAACCTTGGCGTTTAAGAAATGTAATTTTTTTAGAATAAAATATTAAATATCGCTTTTCAACAAAGCTCAAAACAAGTACTCCCAAAATTTTTTCCGAAACGAAACAAATATTCCCATCATTTTTTGAGATGAACCTTTTCCTTTCATAAATTAAATTTCACTAAAATAATACTCCGCTATTCAACATTTTGATTTTAATACCAAAATGAATTATAACACAACTATCCTTAACTTTCAATCAACGCTAAGACGATTATTATTTGAAACAATGCTTAAAGCCCGTCACACATAAAAAGTGCGATATAAAGCAAGAGAATCAAATTTTAATACCAACGCGAATGACTGCAAAAACAACTTTCGTACAAGTTGCAAAAAAATTGGGAAAGCCAACAAAAATATTATTTGGCAAACTCTATGAGAGAGAATAAAACTAAGTGAAATTAAACTTTCGGAATTAGAAAAAAGTGTTTTTTTCAAAACTTCTTTAATGTGGAAATGTGACAGTGCCATCAGCAAGCATTACTCAAAATTTTTATGACTATTGATCTATATAGGTATTAGAAACATTGCATATAAAAGTATTCTTACTTCAAAAGTACAGAAAAATGTGTGCTTTAAATTTAGAAGCATAAATGAATCAAAAAAAAAAAAAAAAACAAGAACACAGCAGCAAAATATTATGAAAGCCATTATGGAATATTAAATAATTCACATTATAAATAAATAACAACTAAGCAAAGCCAATATCAAATGATAAATTTCCATAACAGCAGGCTCTCGCACCAATAAAACAACTCCGAAATACAAAACGTGAGAGTATTAATTATTAATTAATCAAATGTGTCACTATTGAATTTTTAATATATATTTAAAGTATTTCTCACACTATAACACATAATTGGCTTCAGTAATTAAAGAGAATCTGATATTAATGTTGCCCATTGAACGATTTAAATTAAACTTTTTTGTGCAGATTAAATCGATTTTGTGAATCAATGGACACATACAGAGGCCTGACCATTTCTGATATTACACAGAAAAAAAATCACTTCTCGGTAACATTCGCTCCATTTGTCTTTTGGCAGGTGGAAACTCATTTGCGGCACTAAAATTCGATAACTGGAAGTCTGTACTTAAAACCAAATGGCAACAGTAACTAATGTTGAAAAGAGAACAAACGAAATGAAAGCGTACACACAGATACACAACGATACAGTTGCTCACGTACACACATATATTAATAAGCTTTGAGCATGTTAAGGCTCAATTACCTTTTCCAAAGGCCGTTGGCTATTGAAGAAACCAAAGGCAACAAAAGAAGAGCACGGCAGTGGGATGGGAAGGGAAGGGAAGAGAAGGGGAAGGGGAAGGAATGGCCGTCTCCCAAAGCAATGTAAACACAAACACACGCACTAAAGCTGTGGCAATAATAAGCATCAAATTTACTATAACTACACGTACAAGGAGCAACACAGCCAGCTAGTCCATGAACAAGGAGAAGGACAGCACGGGGATGAGAGCGAAAGCAACTCCTTTAGCAGCTGTTGTTCCTATTGTTGTTGCTGCTGCTGCTTCGCTCACGCATTTATTTTGTTTGTGCATATTAACTAATGACGCGCATAGCTTCCAGAAGCACCAAAACACAAGCACACCGACTATGATACATGACTGGCTCTCTCTTCCCTTCCTCCCTTCGCTACGGAGCATTGCATTTTTTACGATGCGCCTGCCAGGTAAGCTAAATTTTCTTCAATTTTTTTCTTCGACTGTTGTTGTTTGTTGCTGGCATGCTCTAAAAAATTGCCATGTAAAAGAAGATTTGAAACTGGAGCGTCACGTAGGCGCTATGTCCCTCCCCCCTCTCACTCCTTAGCTCGCTGTAGCTCAGGTCTAAGGTAGGAAGAAAGAAATCTGTTATAATAAGATATGCACTATGCACATGCATAAGTTAAAAACGAGGCAGGTATTTAAAAATACAACGGCAGAGGCGACATGTGGCACAGTAAAGTAAGAATGGCAACAACAGCAATAACAGAAAGAACCAGCAAACAGCAGCAACAAACTTACATACATACAAGCGTAGGTATGTATTATACATGTACATACATACATGTCAAGTATTGATTTTTTAATTAAATATTAATGAAGCACGAAAAACAACAGAGCAAAAGCGAGAGACCGAGAATCGAGGAGGCAACACAACCGGCTCAGGCGTAGGTTTTTAGACGATGAAAATGTCCACGTAACGTGACACAGAGACAGTCAGTCCTTCTCGCTACCTGGTTGGTTGTGTGTAGCGCGCCTTAAGGTATACTACCCTAAATAATGAAAAAACCTGCGCCATATGCGGCAACATGCGAAAGACACATGACACACGATACACACATACACACAGACACGCTCACATATGCAGGGCAGGTAGACAAAACCAGCGACGCCCTAGCCCCAAAAAAAAAAGAAGAAAAAAACCAAGAAACCAAAGAAGAAACGAGAAATTTTCGAATTTTTAATGACAGCTGCTAGGCGCGTTACATAAGCCAACGAACCAGAAACGAGCGTCAACTAAATCAAATAAAATAAATATGCAAAGCGGCGTCTTCCACGACTAGGTCGCCCCGCTCCATGCACAGTCACGACTCACCGTCAGCCAAAAAAAAAAAGAAAATAAAGGAAACAACAAAAATTTGGAGGCACAAATAAAGAAAAGTAGCACAGAACATTTTTCGTTAACGCGCCACGCACGCAACATGGAAAGGAAATGGAGGAAATGTGGGCATGTGAAAATTCAATGTAAGAAACGAATGAAAACTATCACGAATGTTGTTATGTTGTTGCTGGCGTACTTACAATAATACCTAAGCATATAACAGGAAAAATCAACTAACGACAACTTTCAACTTGTAACAACGAACACAAACTTTCTTCACTGAAACTAGTTTTTCCAATCCATTTTGTCGTTACTTTTCATAGAAACTATCTATTCATTTACAAACAATATACTACTTGTATTCTTAAGTTCAGCACACAGCCAGATGGAAGTTAGGCGGCAGAATAGTTCTAAATTAGTCTGCTGTCCTGTCATTAAATAAAATCAAATAAAATAAGAGTAGCTAGCAAGAACGTACTACAGTTAACTCTTCACTATTAAGCACTAATTTGTTGAATCTTCTAGTAAATTACAAATTGCTTTTGCATTTTATATATTTAAATTTTGCTCATTTATGGCATAGAGCGAATTTTAATTAAAAATATAACCTTTTGAAAATTAAATGAGTGCGGAAAGGACATGAAGAAAGTTATTCAAAGGAGCTCCACCACGCTTCAGAAAAAAGTTTCTTTGTGAAAAAGTTTCCCAAACATTATTTTTTAATTTATGTTACAATTTACAAACTATTTAGTTGCATGATAAAAGAAGCTCGATGCAACGTTGTTGGCAAACTTCCTAATGAAAATAAACCATAAACGTGCAAATTCGCAACGCCATATATTTTGATAGCATTGTGGCAAATAAAGAAAAGGGAAGATGGCTTGGGTGGTGCCTTATATTTATTTATACTCCTATTGCATATCTATTTATTTATAGCCCATTATCACGATCAACAATGCCGCCTTAAAACAGAAGCATACAAACGACTCACAACTGATGGTACGAATTACGCATTCGCGGGGGGACATCAAGTTATGGAATCCGGCATTTTCCACTTGTGTTTAATCGAGTTTTACATAACGGTTTACCACTCTCAACATTTACTCGTGCTGTGTGCCACGTTTTGTTCTTTGCTCGTCTAGGCCGTCCAAACAGTTATAGAGTGGCAAGCCTTGCTGGCATTTCCTGATGCGCAAAATTTTGTCGTAGTCACCTACGTCGTCCTTATCGCCACTATCCCCGTCCCCAACGTCGTCGTTGCTGTCCAGCCAAGAAAGTTAGTTTAACAACTATGAGTGCGGGCCAGCAAAGCTCACTTGAAGCACGCAAAAAGCAGACTACAGACTACTAGAAAATAAAAGCTGGCAAAGCCGAAACGCAAAAAACAAAAAACAAAAAACACAAAAAGAAATGGCATAGGGCGTAGGGCGTAGACGACGCACGTAACTTATAGACACACTCAGACAAATAGTCAAACAGTCAAACAGTCGCGACGCAAACAGAACTACGAAAGCCCCGGCGCACAAACACACACACACACACACGCAGACTTGCCTCCACTTACACATGTATGTACAAGTACAAGCATAGCGACATACTGAACAGTGCGTGTATGTGTGTGTAAATGCAGCAAGTTTTTCTGTACAATGCTCCTAGGCTCCTCTAGGGTAGGTCGGGTAGGATGACGAGGGCGGAGGCGGAGGCAAAGGCGCTGGAGGAGGCTGTTTGCAAAATGGCGAATTATGCGACGCTGTAGTTATTTTTACGTCTGCCCATATTTTTGTTCAGTTTTTGTTGCTGCCTTCAACTCGACGTTGCTTGAAAGCCATGTGCAATGTTTTACGTGTGGCATGTGCGTGAGTGTTGCAGTACATCTTGTGTGCATGTGTGTGTGTGTGTGTGCGAGTAACGAAATTTGTTGCATCGTCGAGTTTTGTGAGTTGTAGGAGCAAAAAAAAGTGAATTATAGGAGTCCCAAAAATATACAGCATGTGTGTGTTGCTTAAAAGAGAAGAACCGAAAAACTGCAAATGATAGTTTCAGTTGCGAGACTGTAACTTTTGCGAATTGGGAGTGACAGAACTAAGAGGCAAAATGAAAGTTATTCACTGCATTTTAATTTAAAATAACTTTATGGCTGTTTTTAAGCCTCAAAAGTCTGATGAATCTAATGGAAAATAAATATGTGTTCTTCAAATGCTGCAGAATATTAATTTGAAATAAATTTAAAATTGTAAATACAGTAAGAAAAAAGGAGAGAATAATAATCACACCTTGAGAAAAGTTCGAGAACATTCTGGGTTCAATTTAAACGAACTAGACTCTAAATGGTGAAAAAACAACCTAAGTTTGGGAAACTATCTACTCCCTTAGGCTTACCATAAAGGTATGTCAATAAGTTTAAACAAGTTAAGCAATAAAGTAGCACATTTCTCAGGATAATAACTCTTCTTTGTCATTCAGAACCAAAGACTGAGAGAGTATTGAAATAGCCACAACCAAGAATTTTAGAAACTGCAAAATGGCAGAGCAATTACCTAACCAATATTTCTGAAGAAAGCGACAGCTTAAAAATCGGAAACAACACATTTGACAAGCACTTTATAAGGCTTCTAACAGCAATAATATTTCATACTTAAATAGTACGTCAAATAGAGAATTAATATATATTTTAAATTTCTATATCATCAATCTATATTTTTTTTAAATTAAATAAGCATCTTAATGTTCCGAAACCCCTAAGATAACACATCAGCCTAAGCAGATGGCATGGCAGCCACTCTGAATAAAGAAATATATGCATAAATAAGACTGAATTACAGCTAACAGGTAACAAGCCCATCATATAAATCCTTATTAAAATCATGAAACAATAACATAGTAAGTAGGAGCAACTAGAGTAGTTTATTGCACAAAAGCCTGCCTACTCTCTGTTCTTATTATGCTCGTCATCCACTTAATATCATCAAGTGCTCTTGCTTAATGTATAAGCACTGACAACACGGACTTTTTTAATTACAATTACCAGGAAAGGCAAGCAGGAACAAGCATGAAAATGCCAATAATTGCCCTGCTTAATCCTTGACCGAATCAAGTTCTGCCCAATGCTACAGACCTTTTTGGGAAATCATTAAGTGGTTGGCATGGCAGTGGCAGTGGCAGTCGCTGTTATGTGGTTAGATTGGTTATGCGTTTGCCCATAACAATCAATCTTATTTTATTAAAACGCAACGGCAACGGCAACGGCCTCGAGAATGGCAGCAGAGGCAACAACGAAAACAACAAACCTTACACTTGAACTTAATGGAAGCTCTCGTCCTTACAGCTGACCTAATACCGTCTCGCTTATGTACAAGGCTCACTGGGCACCAGGTGCGAAATAGACGGCACAATGAAAAAAATCATTAATATGTATTTACTGACGTCCAACGAGGTGGGCCGTAACCTGCCCAGGCTCGAGCTTTCACATAAAAATAATCCTTTTTTATTTACGAACTCGAAGGAGAACACTTCATGCGCCCGCCACCGAACCTCACGCTCATTAAATGAAAACCTTGAATACTTGCAGAAAAAATAGGGGGGAAGGAAACAAAAAGAAAATGTTGCAAGTTTTTCTTCTTAATTCACTTAAGTCTTTTCGCTTGAGTTTTGCACAAATAAGACGGTTCTTCCTCCCTCCCTCTATCTCTGTCCCTCTCTTTTCCTCTTTAAAGGTGCAAATTTGCTATGAATGCAGTCAGTCGCGCAGTCGACTGAGTTACAACATCATTTGTGTTCGTCCTTTAAGCATCTTGTATTAAGAAAGTTTTGCTGGCAGGCTGCAGCTACTCAGCCTTGGCTGCGCCATTGAAACTGATTGTGTATGCAATATGGGAAGTGGTTGAAGGCTGGAGGCTGGCGAAGCGAAACTGTACAGCAGTTTTCCATTGAGCGCCACGAACAGAACTGAACTGAACGGAACAGAACAGAGCAGAGCAGAACCAAACATAACCGAACAGAGAGGAACTGAGCAGCAGAGGACGCGTAGGCAAATAGAAATATTAATAAAAGTTGGATTGCGATTTCTGTTCGCCCTTGTTCGCGTAACTTTCTTTCATTTTTTTCTTTCAATTTGATTGGCAAAGAGGATATATATGGGTGTGCCTGTGTGTGTGTGTGTTCGGGCCAGACTCAGTCACTTACCCTTTTTCTATCATTTTTTTTTTTTTTTTGTTTCGGGGCCCAGTTCCTTTTGTGTTCAATTTCGTTTAAATTCGTTTGCTGCACTGCAAATTGCTTGAACCCTCAACGGAAAGTGCCCGCAGCAGCGCTTGTTGCCTTTATTGTCCTCGACTCTGCTTTGTGTCTTTGTGTCTGTCTGTCTGTCTATCTGATTGACTTGAATTCAATGCCTGGGAGTTATCGAATCTATCAATGACACTAATTGCAGGCTTATTATCGTTTATGGAAGAGGCTTTGTTTATAGCACCACATGCCACGCAAGTTGGCGATTATGACATACTTCCCTCCGTTATGTGTATGTCAAGTGGATTTCGATTGTTACACAAGGGTTAAGCATTTGTTTTAGGACTTAGTTATGAAAGCGTTTATCGATTTTGCATTTGCCTTTTTCCTTGTGCACTCTCTTGGCGCTTATCGCTAGCCATTCCACTATTTATTTATTATAATTGCCTAAGCAGACCATTACCATTGGGTTGACTACATTCATTGCCCAAGAATGGGAGGCGTATATAAAAAAAAAACGCAATATGGTATGCTCCAGATATTAAAATGTGTGCCAGCGCTTTTAATTTCAAAATAAATACGAGCGCATAATTTATAAAAGCAATTATGAAATGACACAAAACGAACTCCTACATATTTTATGAAATTCTTTTAAATTTATTTCAAAATAAAATTATTTATGCCTTTTATCTATCGTTTCTAAGCACCAAGGAAAGAGATAACATAAAACGTCGAAACGTCTAATGTACAAAATGTTTTTCTATTGCGATATCGTAAAAGAAACATGTTAGTGGAATAATTTTTTGATTCATCAACTAAGAGCATAGTTTTTCATATAATTATTTAACAAAAATCTTGGCATCATGTTCCATAGCTATCCAAGGAACGACAGAGGCAGAAATTAAATCAATAACTTGTTTAATTATAAATATATATTCAACGACTTTTGTAGAGGACCAATTTAGAATTTCAAATTAAATCAAAATAGGAATTTGTATTGTACAAAAAATTTTACTTTAAATGAATGGCTGTAGTAGAAATGGAAGTATTACAAGGTATGTAAGAGTCAGGCCGGCACGACTTCAATGTTCTACTCAGTTAGCTTGAGTACATAAAAATTATTTTTGCGCTTCAAAAGTCCTCTATACAAATAAGGAAAATACTATCCCTAATGCTGTACGGACACCACATTATTTTCCAATGTCATTATCATCTTGAATTTATTTCAAAATATCGAATAACGTATTAGTTTGTGAGTTAGAGAAATATTTGCAACAAGAACTGACATTTGTCCACTAAATATTCAGCTTCTTAAACTTTAAGAACACTTGAAAATTTCTCGATTATCCATCTATTCTGTCATTTTGATAGTTCGCGGGTCTTCTATATTGAATAGTTCAAGTAATAAACAACAAACAAGCTCCTTGAAATAAATTATCCTGCCCACTTCTCAATCAATATCCCTCCTCCATATTAAGCTTACAACACACACTTTTTATGAAAATTACTTGAAATAAAAAATATTCTAATTATATTTAATATTTTTTAACTAATTTAATCATATTAAATTATTTGCACACGCTTACAAGTTGTTAAACAACTTTTGATTCTTCTTTCTGAAGAGAAAAAGTTTACTATTGGCGGAAACAGGAACAGCTTTTTTTCCAATTTGTATTTCGATTCCGCCAAATTTAATGGAAAGCGGAAACGTCAACAGATTCGATAATTTCGATTGTATTTTCAATTGACAAATTTGTTGAAGCAATTTCAATTGCCACGTGCTCTTTTGTACTGAACTGTAGGACATAATAAAAGAGCACCTGAAACAGAGACTTTGACCAAGGTTGCTTTCGTTTAGACAATTGTTGTATTATTCATAGAGTGGCCAAGGGACAATTTTTAGCAGTTCGTGGCCGCCTCTAATTACTTATAGCTGATAATATTGATTGGTTTTTGGCTGCTATTGTTAAACTATAATCAGAATCTGGATCATTCCAGTAACAAAATCCTTTTAAATATTTGGAAGCCTAAAAGCTTGTTATTGTTGTTTTTGAAAGTGTTCATAAATGAAACAGGAACACTTTAATAACCAACATTGCTGTCCTGCCGAGTGTCAAAAGTATGTCTAGCGATGTACATGTTGGCCTGTGGCAGTAATTTGCATAATTATTGCGCTAACTGCAGTTCGGAAACCAAATCCCTAACCACTCTGCCACCCCAGCACTCCCCACTCCCCACACCCGCCACACCAACAACATTACCAGCAGATCGATTAATTACGTATGCTCGTATGCAGAAAATATCATTGCCTACTTTTAGGGGTAGGCTGTGGGGCATTGAGATGCGAGCGCGCAAATGGAATGCTGTTGGCAACAGCAGTCAAATTAAAATTAATAAATTCCTACTTATTTGCATAAATCACAATCAATCATAGGAAATATATTTCGCCACCATACAAAAACAACGTGCAATCCAATTGAAATTTTCAATTACCGCTAAAAACAAGAACCGAACAACAGCAGCAAATTGAGAATTGACCGCAAAATGCATAAAATATGCGCGCAAATTGGATATACGCTGTTTGCCCAAAGAGTAAACATTTTAGCCAACATGTAAGGCCACACACATACACACACACACACACATCCACTGACGCCATATACCTGCAGACAAATCACGTATACGCCTAGTTAAGTGGCAACTATTGCTAATGCTGCTGCTACTGCTGCGGCTGCTGTTGCCATATTGGCGAAGGCATCCGCTTGCCTTTGACGTTTAATTAAGCACCAATTTTAATTAAATGAGTAACAACAACAACAGCACCAGCAGCACCAGCAGCAGCAGCAGCGGCATCAACATCATCATTATTGGATGGCACCGACTATGACTGGCTGGCTGGCAATGGCGACGGCTGTGTGCACAAGTTTTTGGCACAATAGGAACGTTCATTAAATAACTATTACTTATGTGGCACGTCAGTTTGCGCGACTGACTCGTTATTCATTTGCCTGTGTGCTGACAACTACACATAAATAACACACTCGTACGCAAATATTTACATACCTACAACTGAGAAACAGACAACGCCAGGCAGTAAATGATACAACTTTGGCTATGAATTTTTATGAGAAACAAACAAACAAACCATCACACACACACACACACACACACACACACACACACCTACATACACAGGCAAGCAGACAAAACGGAACGACAGAACAGAACAGGACACGACACGACAGGTACTCGCACAGAAGTCTCTCATTTGCTTAGTAGTTACCCACTTTTTATCATCATTTCGCTTTCGATATGCAAATAATTCTCACCTGATTTAAATTCTAAGGATACATTAAATTGCGTGCGTGTTGCTTTGTTTCGCCGTATCCTGATGTAGTAGTAGTAGTAGTAGCGCTACTTTTGTTGTTTTTGTTGTTGTTGTTGTTCCGTTGTTGCTGCTGCCACTGGTAACGGCTTTTCAATATTATGACAGGCAGGACTTCCGCACTGTCCGTGCCGTTTCCTGCCAACCGTACAGTTAAGTCAGCTGTGCAAAAGTTTTATCAGTTTTTATTTGATTTTTGTTATTTGTATATTTAGTTTAATTTAGTTTTGCCTTTTTATGTGTGTCACCTTTATGCGTTTCTTGTTCGAATTTTTTTTTTATTCTTTTTTCGTGCCATGCACGCGCGCCTTATAGTTGGCCGCGTCGCCGTCGCTGCCACCGTCGTCGTCGCCGCCACGTTGTACGTTGATTAAACGAGCACGAGCGAGAGTGAAAGTTTCACGACGACGGCCACCGCTGGCAGCCACTAACGATGTGGCGTGTTGAGTTTCGACGCCAGTGGCAGCTCGCTATCTCAGCGGGGAGAGAGCGTGTAAGGGACCGAGTACGGGAGAGGGAGAGAGAGAGCGAGAGAGTAAGAGTGAGAGTAAGCGCCTGCTGAGTAGTATTTTTTTGTGAACCTTCTTTTCTTCTTTCTTTTATTTATTTAATACATACGAGTATGTATATTATTTTTTCACTTTCACTGAATATTGATTTGAAGCATATTATTGTTATAATAAATAATTTTGTACACTTAAAAAGATGCGCGCACACTTTCAGCTTTTTCTCAAGCTCAATGTTGTCTGTTGAAAACTCACCACAGCCATGCGACAGCCGTAACAACAATTGGGAGCACAACTGCGCCCGTTGAGCTTTTTCATACAACTTGATGCTGCTTTTGTTGTTGTTGTTGTTGTTGCGCTGATGCTTGCGGGTGGCGTCGTCGTAGTTGTCGTCGTCGCTCTTGTTGTCGTTGATAGACGCCGCCGTCGCACGCCTAGAAGCTGGCAAAGTTCGGACTCCGAAAACTTTTTCGCGTATTTCACTCTGAGCCTAAACTGCTGTTTCTGCTGCTCCCGCGGACGCCGCTGCTGCTGCTGCTGCTGCTGCTGTTGGCACTGCGACTGGCAGTGCTGGCGTTTTCGTAACTTAACCTTCTGCCCTACTCTGCTGTTGGCATGCGTCATCGAATTTACTTATTGTAGGCTCAAATAATCGCCTATATATGTATATACATATATATATATATATATATATTCTTATTATTTTCTTTCCGATTATGCCTATTTCAATTCTCTTATTGAAATTTTAGTTTGGCACTGACAAAAATACGCGCACACGCACAAACACACGCACACGCACACATGCACATACTATCTATAGACACTCGCACGGATGTAACACAGACACACACACAGCATTGAGTCGCACGCACGCACGAACGCACGCACATGCGCTAGCGTTTGCACCTTTGCTGCTGCATATGTCGCAACGCATTAACCATACGCCATGTTGTACGCTGGCCGTTCAGTGCACGCGCACCCGTCGCTCGTCGACTGCTGGTCGACTGGTTGACTGGTTGACTGGTCGACTTGTCGGTTATTTCTTCGTTGGTCGTGTGTAGACGCCTTCAAGGTTATTTCCTGTTTAAAAATTGCTTAATTTGTCGTAGTTTTATGCGCTGCTGGTCATTGTGCTGCGTCGCCATTTTTAATTAAAATTTTTCTGTTTTCTTCGTGTTGTTGTATCTTTCGCTTGTGCACGGACATAGCACCACAGCACACACACAACACTTACATTGCTTGACTTAATTAGATTTCATGGAATTTTCACACTATCTTGCACATGGCTCTGGGCCCCCGTTCTTGGCCAGCAGCCTGCTGCTGCTGCTGCTCCTGCAGCTCTCCTTATGCCTGATGCTGCTGGTACTGCTGCTGCTGCTGCTGCTACTGCTCCAGCTTGCTGTTGTGTTGTATATACTAAGTATCTACATGCTTTGTATTTCAAACTGTCACACTGCTGCGTGCTGGCTGTTGGCATTGCGTGAGTGCCTGGCCAACAATTGAGTTGGTCTGCCAGTGTTGTTTGCGTTTATTGCTTTGCATTTTCTTTCATTGCTTTCAATGGCGCACAAATATTTTAATATTATGCTAATTCTTTCTTTTTCAACTTCTGCTTTAAGCTGGCTGTGGTGGTGGTGGTGGTGCTGCTGCTGCTGCTATTTTCTTGTGCGTTTTCCACGCGCGTTCTGGAAGCTTGTACGGAGCGTTTGTCTTAACCGTTTGGCTCCACTACTCTGACTACTTGGAGGCGAATGCTTGCGGGTTCTCGTAGTCGCAATCGTCCTCGTCGTCATGGCCAAAGCTTTTCCCCAAAACAGCGGACTCTGTGAGAGCGCAAGCTCCAAATTGAGTGGCAACTGGCGCGGAGTAGTAATGTCAATCCCCCCACTCCGTATTACTTATCTCTATGGTCCTCATTTAGTTGCTCAAGTTTGCTCTGTTTGGATTTTGTTATTTTAATGCGTGGCACTGTTGGTTGCGTGTGCTTTAAGGATTTCTTTCGTGTAATTGTTTTCGTTATGTTTGTTATGGCGCCAACGTGCAGATGTAGACGTAATTGTGCACTTCGAGAAATGTTTGGATACACTTGATAGTCTTCCTTATTAGCTGCTAAGCTGTTATTAATTTCTTCAAAAATTAGTTTTATTAAATTTTTATTTTTAAGGGCATTTTCAATTTTAGTTCGATAATTATTTATTTCAAAATAGAAAAAGCTTAAATACACAAATCACTTGTTCATAATATTATTTTTTTCAAATATCTAAAACTCCGAAATATAAAAAATCCTTCTTATTTGAAGATCAATTTACTGTGGGATACTATTCATAAATATGTACAACAAGGAGCCGATAAATAATTTTGTTCCTATTGCTTTGAAGGAAACTTAATTTTTTCTACCAAGATTTTTCCCCATTTCAAGTTCTTTAAAGAACAACATGAAGTAATTTTTTTCGAGTTTTGTGCTCTGATTATAAAACCTTTTGTAATTTGTTGTTTATATTCTTTATAGATTTTAAATTTTACATTTTATTTTATTTATTAATAATAAATAATAATTTTGCGACATTTTAGGGATAATTAATTGCTTAAAATTACTTTTCAACCTAAAGAACAACATCAATTAATTATTTTCGAGTTTTGCGCTCTGATTATAAAACTTTTTGTAATTTTTTGAGGTTTTTATATTCTTAATAGATTTTGGATTTTAAATTTTATTTTATTTAATAAAGAGAAGGGCACTTGCAGAGCCTGGAGCACGCACCCCTCAGACTTTATAATGAAGATGCAAATTAATAACTATCAGGTGATACTTGTAGATCTTAGAATTAAACGTTTGTAAGCAAGCCGTTTTGTGTCATTCTATTGATATTTTAAATCACATTTGAATATTTGTTTTCGAGCTATTATTTTTTTAAATATATAATTAATTGTCATAGCGATTGCTCAGTAAACAATTTGATTGTTTAACTCTTTATTATATTGAAGCTACATGGGGCAGTTCGCAGAATCCACAAGTAACGAAGAACGTTATGCGCAATAAGGCAGTTGCTATTAAAACGAACTAATAAACAAACAAACAAAAAATCCCCATTCAAGTTCGAAATTCAATTATATTTTATAGGGTAGACGGGGGTGGCGAGAGTCGAAACAAATGATTCTCATTGTCACTTATTAGCTTAGAATTCATCGCACATCGTATATACGGGTGTGTCATTAGTCACGCTTACTTTAACGGTCGGATGCGAACTATAAAATCAGCTGACACCCATTCAAATCATTTAGTGATCGCCGTCTGCTCAAACGCTGAATATTACAAGCGCTCTCAAAATGAAGTTCATTTGTATTCCCCTGATGGGTAAGTTCAAATGTTAGCCGCGTTCTCTCTCGCAATTATTTATTTGATATTGAGCAGCTCTGTTGACCGTGTGTGGTCTCTGGTCGACTGTGCAGGCACAAGTTCCGATCTGTCCTGCCATCTATAGACCCGTCTGTGCTACTCAAAATGGACAATGCTACAAAACATTCTCAAACGATTGCATGGCCCGAGGTGTGGGTAAGTACATTTTTTATTTCAATGCGGATTTTCAAGACAACAGAAAGAGTTAAAGAACTACAAGTAAGTTATTGAAATATTAGAAATGATCGTTAAAAGCAAATTCAGGAGTAGAACATAATCATGCTCTGAGAATATCGCAGACATTTTCTGACCATCAAGTACTAGGTACTACGTTTTCTTAAAGCCTTGAGCCTGCCTTCTTCTGAAAGTTACATCACATGTATTTGAAATTATTACATATTATTCGTATATAGAAATGTAGCATTGTATCAACCTTTATTTAATTACATAATTAAATAATTATGCTTACAAATTACCAGACATTATATGAAAGAGTAAATAGTTTCAAATATTAAAATGCAAGAGTCATCCATGATCTGAATGATGAGCTTATCGAACACCCGGCATACCTTTTATTTAACAATAATTTATTACAACAGAGACAGTACAGAACAGTACTAGGAAGGCAGCGAACACCGGCTATATTTTCCCTCAGATATGCATAAAATGTGGATCAGAAACTTTATATCAAGTGTGACTTAAGTAGAAGTAATGCTGCAGATGTTTTATTAGCAATACAATATAAATTTTTTATCAATATGATACAACTTTTTATTTTTTTAGGATTCAACAATATTGCATTCCAAGGTGCATGTGAGGACCAATCTCAAGCTGGGACCCTGTGTCGATAGAACAAATGAAATGAAGGACGAATAAATAGAGTCGAGGCACATACTCGTATTTCAATTGTTTGCAATTATTTGAAAAAGCTGTTATTGGAAAGGGATATAACTTTGGGCATTTGGATTCGAACTACAATTTACTTGCATAATTAACAAAAAATAAATAAAAAAATAAATTTGGTAAAAGCTCCAGAATATGATATCAATAATTAGGAGGTTATAAAATCGATCATCAATGGCTTTTAGACTCTTGTTGCTACAATAATAAATTGCATTTATTCAACAAGCTTCAAAATGTGTTATAAATGTGCATAAGTCAGGACTGTATTATAAAGTTAGCATTGTTTCATGCAGAGTTCGGTCGAATTCTTTATTCTAAGAATAGTGAAGAAAATAAAATAAGCTACGGTTTAATTAAATCTTGACTCGTCACAGTTCGCATTCCAAGCAATTTGTCGCATTCCACTCTGAACAAAGTTCATTTCAGCTTAAGAGGTAAAAAAGAGCAGAATGATGATATTTTTCTCAATGCTTGTAGCGGGTAAATATATCTAAATGGTACTACATCATTGCGTTCCCTAAGTATCTATAAAATCGAAATTACAGCAACAATGATGTTCCCGTGCAGCAGCTATAGTGCGTTTAGAATGTGCACGACAGATGAGCAACCAGTTTGTGCTTCCATGAAGGGTGATTGCTATAAGTCCTTTCCCAATAGCTGTTGGGCCAAGTCAAGAGGTAGGAGCAATATTATACTAGCAGTTACATTTAGTAATACAACTTACTATGTATAACCTGTATTGCATTAGGTTTTGGAATGGTGGACTTTGAAGGGAAGTGCAGCGATCTTAAACATACTATCAAAATATGTGCATTTTGAACAATTGTATACCTAATAGAATACAATTAATTAATATTAAAACTTTGGATAATATTACCGTTTTGGTACTTTTCTACAAATCCTAGAATAAGTGGAAAAGCATAACTCAAGACAACTATCCTTTTTTTCAGTATATGTGCAAAATCTGTAACCTTCCATATTATATGTATTTGTAAACATTTTGAGCTAAAGCTTACAATTTTTCCGTTCGTCACAGTCAACATTTAATTAAATTCACTCTATTTGTCATTTAGTAATCACGTGAGAGGTGGAAACGATCAGAATAATTACGATTCTCTGTATACTTCTAATAGGTGTGATGACTTGCAAATACTGAGTCTAGCTGAGTCTATTCTCCTACATTATGAGTTGGGCTAAGTTAAGAGGTGATTAGATGAGTTAAACTTACATAATAAAGCTACTAAATATATTTGTTCCATGATAGGATATAAAGAATAATGTCATACGCTAATTTTATTTTTTTATATTCAGGGTCGTCTAAGTG